AAAAAAACTTTGATATTACTCCATAAGATCTAATACTGTGTACTTCAACTTCGTAATTGCCTAATGACACCAAAAATAAAAATTTTACAGTAGTTATTTGAAATATGACTACCATAATGTTTTAATGAATATATAGTTCATAATTGACATATTTTTTCCAAATACTTAATTATATTACTTTATTAATGGTATTAAATAGTATTATCAACATTTTTTTTGATTTATCAAATATTTAGTTTCATTTATTTAATTTTTATTCTTATTTTATAGTTTCTCAAAAAATATTTATTTTATATTGGATTAAAATTTTCAAAATTTATATTGACATTGTAGATATTATAAGACTAATTGTGGTCATTTTATAATGTGAAAAAAATGAACCAATCATACTCCCTCTGTTTTTTTTATTTGCATCAGTTTGACCGACACATATACCGAGACGCAACTTTGACCACTAATACCTTTAATTGTATGTTAATAAAAATTATAACAAAATTATATTATGAAACTAGGCATTACGACTAATTTAATGATATATTATATAATAATTTTTATTTATTTTATAGAAGAGAAAAAAATTAAGTCAGCCATGGTATGTGAATAGTGCAAAAATCAAAGTGATGCATTTTAAAAAAAATGAAGGGAGTATTATATATCATTAAAATAATATGGTAGTCGTTTTTCAAATGACCGCTGTAAAATCATCCCACCAAAAAGGTCGATTGAACATGTTGGATTTTCATTGGAACATGAACTTATCTGAACACTTAAGAACTTATTGTACTCCCTTTATTTCTGATTAATTACAATATGTTAACTTTCCGATTCTCTTGATTTGATAGTATGTTACTTATTGTTCTAGGGAACTAATTGATGAAATTAGCAAAGGGGTATTTGTGAGGGATTGAAAACATGGTTAAAGCTAAGGTGTATTTGAAATTTATGTGCTCCATTTAATAACGTTTTTCAACAATTATTTATTTAACGTTGGAATTAAAACTCTTGGATTCCGACTTTCAAATAATGATTAATTTTTTTACTTTGTAGTCTCGTAGGTAAACTCGCTGCCTCTTGTCAAGTGGTTGCTTTTAACAATAGCAAACTATTCACTCCGCTATCGAAGGATAAAATTGCATGATTGTGCGTTATTTTTATTGCATTTCTACAATTACACTGCCCAACTCTCTTAGGTACTGTTCAACTACAAAGTTACCACTTTCACTAATCATATTGCAAATCAAAAAACAACGTTGAGATAAAAAAAATTAAGATAGTTATTTTAATTATGAAATTGGCCAACACCACTTTAGGCAAGCAAGCAAGAAGTTCATGAGTAGTAGTGATTTTCTAAAAGCCAAATAATTTAATGTCTTGTTTTTTTATTTTATTTTATTTTGTAAGAATTTGTGTTAGGTTTTGTTTTATTATATTCGGTTCAATATAGTTCACCTCTATTATCTTAAGTTAAGTTCATTTCACCTTTATTTAGTTTAGTTCAATCTTCATTCAATTTATTATTATCATCATTATTATTCATATTTTTAGTTTAGTTTAGCTCGATTTATTAGAAAAACTAATAATAAACAATTCAATTCAGCTTCAATCCTAATTTAGTCCAAAAGAAGAAGACCTTAATTTAATGTTAATTCATTTTCTTCTATTTTGCAAGTTTAGTGATTTCAAAGTGCAATGGATCAATAAGTTTAGCCATACATCTTGCCTAAAAGTAACTTGCATTTTAATAATATTGGTTTATAAACTTCTTTGACAATATACTATGCATAATGTTTGTTCATGTATCATTTTCATATGAGTCCATTTACTAATTTAATTTTTAATTGATGACTTCAATTATTGTTCTTTTGCTTAAGAATATACAAAATTAAATTATAAATTTTTGTAAAAGGAATGAAATCTTAACGTTCTAGTTCGGCTCTACGTCATTAAGCGGATGATGTTATTATGTACTCCAATTTTGCACGCAAACACTCGTAATTGATTGGGCAACTTAGTGGACGTTATTACAATCCTATGTCCTTGTACGTTGCATGAGATCAAACTAGTTATAATCAAAGGGAATAATATATTTTAGAGGAAGAGGGAATAATATTAATCGGCAAAGATTTGTCCCTCTCTTATATTAAAAGGTTATGAGAGGATACATATATATCTGTTTCCTTCTTTTATAGTATAATCCGAGATATATATAATATATATCATGCATCTCATTTTTACTACGAAATATTAAGTTATTAAAAAAAAAAAAACTTTGTAATGTACTCTGTACTCAATATTTGGGGGATAATTTTATGAAGGAAAGATGATAGTAAGACAAGCTAGCATCGAAATTTCAAGGATGTAAACACGAATATAAATGGTAACATAAAACTTAGTGATAGAGTATAAAACATATTCCTGGGTTTTAACTATTAGCTTAAGCTTTTTGTTGACTTGATCCTTTAACATGGTATCATGAACTAGCATGACACAAAGATCACGGGTTCGAATTTCATCCACATCTTCTTTCAAAATGGGCTCTCGTGTAAAGGGGCGTGATAGAATATAAAACATATTCATGGGCTTCAACCAACAACTTAAATTTTGGGTTGAGTTGGTCCTTTAACACTTAGTTTGTGGGCGATTTATATACGTACAATCAATTTTTTTAACACTTGGATATTGGTAGGATAAGTGACCCATGAGAAAATTGTTTGTGTGAGATATGGGGGTTAACCAGTTTGTTAGGTTTAGCAAGAGCAAAACACAACACAAAATTTAAGATATGAACAAGTTAAAGGTGTGAATGAAGAATACCTAGAGAGAACAACAAACACAATCTTTTAGTACAAAAGTTACAACATTATTAATTACAACTTTGCAATACATAATTTATAAATAAAAGTATCTTATAGTTTATTTAATAAGAATTAAATGTTAAAAGAATAATTAGTACATGTAATTAATATAATAATAAGTCAAAGAATTGCAAGACCGAAGATGGTAAGTGAGTGTGGAAGTTGCAGAAAGCAAAATTAGGACAGAGTATGAAGTGAGAATCGAAGCCGAACGAGAAATGTTGCGGCAAGGGATGCGCTGACAAAGTGATTAGTTGTATTAAAAATCATGCTTTTCATATAAGTAATTATTACTGTCAAGCATTAAGCAGGCCACTCTCCTTTATTATTAACACATAATTAAAATTTATCACTCACCTACTAATGTGTCAATCGTAATTTTTCACCCGACACAATCCGTACAAATTCAATCACACCTTTCTATTTTAAACCCTATTAATTTTAATTTTGTTTTCAATTAAGTTTAGGGTTATATAGTCATTAAACTTGCACATTAATTTGAGGTAGGTGAGATTCAAGAGGCTTGAACTAAATTAAGTGCTAGTTGAACATAATAAATTGTATTTTGTATGATTAAATTATAATTGATAACTAACCTATTTTAATGAAAATTTGAAATCATCTAGTTAAACTTGTCCAATTTGGGTTTGGTTCTATTTAGGATTGCAAACGAGTTAATATGTATGTTAGGACTAGTTAAAAACAAGTTTAGCCATGACTCGTATGTCTAATTGGTAAAATAACGCAATGTTTGGCAACAAGAGATTAGTTGTTACTCCGTACTCCATAGTTATTAGATGTTTGTATGTATGAGTTGCTTTAATTAACTGATTGTACTATATAATTAATTATACTACGGAGTATGTGCTTGTATATTTTGTCTTTTTTTTCATGTGTAAAAGTATTTGGTCAATAACTATTAGCAGATAACTACTATATTGTGTTAAATGACCAATAAGGATATATGCATATTCTATTATTTTTACCTCGAGCAATCTTGGCAAATAATAGTAATTTTAATGATTTTTTCACCAAAATCCCTAAGTTTACACTTAATTCATCATATACCCTTGGACTTTCTTAAATACATCATACCCTCGAGTTTTCACAAAAATGAATCCTTAATAACTAACAATTGTTAGCTCCGTTAGTCATTAGGGTTGATTATGTTCTGAAACCACTCCAAATCCCTTCCTCCACCTCAAAAATCACCTTACTCCCTTCCCCCCAACCTCGAAATCACCTTAGATCTCCTTCCCCACCTCCAAAAGTAAATCAATCACATTATTAAGTGAGGGGATGGGAGAAGGAGATTTTGGGTGGTTTCGTGGGTGTGGGGGAAGGGAGCAGAATAGAGCAGAGCAGAGCAGGCAAAACAGAGTAGAACATCTCAAAAGAACAGGGCCTAACTATAACTAAAACAAAACATTGTTGATGTCACAGTTGTACACATGTTGCTGTATTATAAAGAAATTTCCCGCCTAAATCATAATCATATTTTTATAGGTTTAAAGTTTTTTTTTTGACAAAAAAGTTGTTAATTCTTTGACTTAATTTTTTTAAGTAGAGTTAAAAACAAAAAAAAAAATAAAAAAAAAATTTTTTTTTTTTGACTATTTTTACTCTAAATAAGTCAGTCTACGGTTGTTTTTATCTTTTAATATTTCAACAAAGTAAATTTATTTGGCATTTTTTTATTTGATAATACTTTCTCCTAAAAACATACACATATAAAAAGTTTGGTGATAAACTTGTTGGAAACAACTCTCACAATGACTTTGTTTAAAGTCGGGCATTGCACGAGAGCTAAACTAGTAAATTGATATACAATTGAGGTCTAACTTTAGTTAGATTACATAATTAAATTAGATTAGGCTAACTAGATAAAATCAGAAAAAATCAGATTAGATTAGACCAAATTTTAAAAATTCCGATTCAACATTCTTATTGTAGACAAAGAGAAAAAAGACCTTACAAGTTACAATAGAGATTTAAGTTAGTCAAACCTCTTATTTTACCTCAAATCTCTCCTAACCAAACACCCCAAAAACTGACTCGACTTGACTCTACTAATTTAAATCCCTAATTACTGAATCACCATGTTAAACTCGAAAATGAGAGTATTATCTGAACAATTCTGATTTACCTCTAAACCAACAACCCCACGTTGCTCATACCTAGGTACCTTCTTATGACATGTTCAGTCCCTGGCCGGATAGGAGAGTAAGGAGACCCCCCCACCTTCGTTTCCCTTTGATAACCCAAATCTTCCCTCAGTCCCACCTTCTCTTGGCTCTTTCTTCACTTCCAATTACCAAAATACTAAATTTTCAACTTCATTTTCACTCATTAGTTAAATAAAATAAAAGCCCACTTAAAAAATAAAAATCCACATTTTATTTTGTAGTAAAAATAAAATAATATCCCACCACCTTTTCTTGATTTCTTAAATTCTTCAGATTTGAATCAGAACTCTCCTCATTCCTTCCTCCCTCTCTTTCTCTCTCTTCTTTTCTTCCTCTATTTCTATCCACCTCTTCATTGCTTCAAATCAAAACACCCAACTTTTTTTTTTTTTTGGTATAAAAAACTGGGCAAATTCTCATTGCCCACTTCAAATTTGGCTAAAAAAAATCTAAAAAATGGCTCAAAAGCATTTGAAAGAATTGCTAAAAGAAGATCAAGAACCCTTTTATCTAAAAGATTATATTGCAAATAAGCAATGTTTATTGAAAAATAAACAACAACAAATACAAAAACTTCAACTCAAAAAACCCAAAAAACCCACTTCAATTTTACACAAAAATACATGTTTTTTCTCTTTACAAGACTCCCCTGACCTTAGAAAATCACCTAAATTATTTGATTTTCCACCTTCACCAATTCCGAATGCTAAAAGCCCTAACAAAGTATTCCTCCATATCCCTACTAAGACTGCCACTCTTCTTCTCGAGGCGGCGATGAGGATCCAAAAACAAAAATCAAAGCCGCAAAAGACCCAACAAATTAAGAATTCGGGTTTCGGGTTATTTAATACTATGCTGAAAAAACTTTCATTAAGAAATCGGACTCAGAAACTCAAGTCCGACCCCAAAACGGAAGTTAGTGAGGCAGATGAAAATGTTATTACGAGTATTGTGTCATGTTCAGTTTCTTCATCTTCATCTTCTTCTTGCAATGGAAGGTCAAGTAGCTTGGATTTGGAGAGTTCGATTAGTGGAAGATCATTTGATGAAGTAGAAGAAGATAAAGATGAAGATTTTGAGTTTACTAACGTTTTGAAAGAAAATAATAATATTAACAAGATTAGTAGCAATAATAATGGAGATTATTATTATTCACCAATTTGCTTAAGTCCTTTAAGTCCATTTCGTTTTTCTCTTCATAAAAGCCCTTCTCCTGAACGTTGCTCTCCTGCTAAATCCCCTGTTCGTTACAAATTTCAGGTGTGTTACTTTAATCTCCTACTAATTATTACTTCGTACTTGTTAATTTGTTATTTAAAAGTTTTGGTACTTGTATTGTGTTTCAAGTGTGTCAATTAATAACCAACGGAGAGGTGGTAAAAATTTAAAACATGCTAAACTATTGTATTGATATTCTTAAAAAGTAGAAATATTAATCATGAAAAGAATCGATTATATACGTGTTTAATATTGATTGTGTAAGCATTAGTAATGATGAACCAAGTACAACTTTGAGAGTATGGTAAATATTTTTAAAAAAATGTTTTATTTTTTGGTCATTATTATTATTTTTTTGGTGGGTAAAAGATTCCATCATTAATACCGTGATAGATGTTACAGAAATTTGTGACCAATCGAATAAAAATAGAATTTTTCTGAGCATTTTAGTTGAGTGGACATATCAATGTTCATGAATCATTTAAGTTACCTTAATTATATAGCAATGTTAATTATGTAATGAGCACGTTCTTATAATTTGCTTGTTATTATGGACATTGAACAATGCTTTATAATAATGTTGTTTGATTAATGAAACATCATTAGTATGATTAGACCTAATAATTGACTAATGCCACTTTATTAGAATTAGGTCATTCTTAAATTTGGATTCGTTTGTAGTTAGTACCTAATAATAGTGAGTAGGAATACTAATTTTAGGTCAAATCATACATGACTCTTTGCATTTTTTTTTTTTTTAAATGTACTCTCTCCTTTTATTTTATTTTTAAATGCAGCATCTATTCTTTACACACATTTCATAAAGAGATTAGAGAAGGTAAATAATTGAATTAATTACGGAGCAAAATAACTTAAACACTATGCTCCGTAGAATAACCTACTCGGTAACATACTTTATCTCTTCTTATCAGTGTTCGGATGATTTTGATTAATTTTTTTGTATACCAAAGGAAAATACGATGTGATAAAAATTTGTGGATGGTCAGCGTTGATTTTATTTAGTCAACCATGACAATTTAATACATTTTTTTTAAAAAAAGAAGAGCATTTTTTAAAATGCAGTATAAAATACAGTAAATAAAACTAAAAAGAGTTAATATTTTTATTGATCCGCGTGAACTCGTGAGTCGTGACTCAGCTTAGGTGACTATATTGAGCTGTCGGCAATAGAATCTGTACTCACCTTCTTTTGCCGGGGTGTTTTGTTTAGGAAAAGACGATTTTACCCTTTATTGGAAGGATAAAATGTGCAAAAATCCAAGTTTTACCAGGGCATGCATGTCAAAAGAGGGCAAATAGAACCTTGGTGGTGTAACAAAATTGTACTTTTATGATCACGTCTCTGCCCACTAAAATCTTTTCTTTTAAGACCTTGTCTGTTTGATGGGCAAATTATAAAATAAATAAAATATATATTTTTGGGTTTTTCAAATCGGACAAATTATGTTTTTGGATTTTTTTTGTCCATGTCATTTGTATACAACTAGTAAAATAAAGGTATTTATCTTGTTTTATGTAGTGTCAAAAATCTTGTTTAATGTAATGCTTGTGAGATAATTAAAAATTAATTGAACTGTAACTACCATTGAACAGTAACTACCAATAATTGATGTATTAACCATATCATATTATGTATAATAAATAATTATTAATTTATATTAATAGCTCCAAAAAGAGGACTCTATTATATTAGTAATAGTATTAAAGTGATTGCATAACAACCTCTATTTTTGGTTGTTCATTTATAGGTCTATTTGGAGTCAATTATTTATTATATCAACAATGTTTTGGTGGATCAATAATTGATTTATGCTAAAGCATCTCAATTCTCTTCAATGTACTCGGCTTTAGGAATATTAATTAGGTTGGTCTATAATTGATTCACTTTAATTTGTATCAAAGAATTAAGTCACAGTATAAAGGGAGAAAATAAAAAAATTATTTTACTAAATAGTCTAACAATAACTTTTATGAAATTTGTGTACTTGGCTCCATACTTTTTGGTGGTTGTAGCATTCTAATATAATTTAAATTAGTGAGTGGTTCGGACAATATTTAAATTAGCAAATAATAGGAGAATGTATTAAAAACAAACACCTCCCAATTCAAATTGTTTATATTGAATTGAGAATAGAAGTATTAAGGGTAATTGTACAATGTCAAGTTAAAATTTTTGTCATAACCATATTGTCAATTTGTCATTAAAAAATAAAATATTTATAGTTAAGCGGATAATATGACACATTTTTAGTGAATGAGAGAAGTGTCATGTAATTTATAAAATGTACGGAATACTATTTATAATACTCCATAGTAGATTGACAAGCAATGTTTGCTAATTATAGTCGGCATAACTAATGAAGTACTGTAAATTGTGATAGGGCAACGTAAACTACAAGCATGAAAACCTAACGAAATTCCAGCAAAAGGAAGATGAAGAAGACAAAGAACAGAACAGCCCAGTTTCCGTGCTTGATCCTCCATTCGAAGATGACTACGACGGACACGAAGATGACAGTTACGAGATTGAATGCAGCTACGCTTTCGTTCGCAGTAAGTAGTAGCAAATTTCTATATTGTTACCAAGAAAATGATCCCTTATAATTGATTTTTTGTTGCATGCTTTGTTTTTGTTGTAGGGTCTTTTTCATGTAAATAAATTGATGGCATGTTTTTTCATAATTTTTCCTCAAATTCCAAAGAAAACGATTTAGATTTATTAATCTTGATTGTGTCCTTTTTCATATGTTTGGTCATTTTCCTTTACTAAAGGGCATTTATTAGACCTTTTTTAACTTGTATTTTGCTGCTTCAACTTTCTCTGAAATTGGTCATATTAATAATTATTTTTTCAACAATGTTTTGAACCATACAATATTTTTGTGGGATCCATTTTTAGATATCTGTGGAACCGCATGTGTGGTTTTTATGACTTAATTTCGTACACAATTTTTGTGGGTTTTGTACTTTGGTTTTATACATCTGGTGCTAAGAATTTTACAGGATGTGATTTGATCACTGTTATTGTAATGATATCCTTGTTGGATACACCCTCGATTTCGAAATAACATGCCTAATATTTTGGTAATGTTTAAAATAGAAATGTGACCTATTCATAATGAATCCACTTGTTGAAAATCACTTTGCTAATTTGACTCGACTTGTAATATTTGCTAATTGATTAGCAAACGCGAAATAACAATCAAGTCGATCATGCATGTCTTATATCTGTTAGCATTCTTAGCAATCAAAATTTTTGATATTTTGGTGTACAAGTATTGAATTAAAATGTAACCTTGTTTTCAAAAAAAAATGTAACCCTGTTTATTTATTTATTTTTTCTCAGGAGCCCAACAAGAGCTGTTTCATAAGCTTCACAGGTTTGAAAAATTGGCGGAGTTGGACCCTATTGAGCTCGAGAAAAGAATGATCGAAGAAGAAGAAGAATACCAACTAGAACATACGAATGAATTTGAAGAATACAACCATGAAACATTCACATTCGATGAAGAAACTCAAGCCCATGACTTCTTGCAAGATATAATCAGGAAAACAGGTTTTCAGGATGCGAAGAAACCCGGGATCAAGAGACTTATTTCTGATCTAATAATCGAGGAAAATAGTGAAGAAGAAGCATCTGATGAGCAAGTCATTAAAAGGATATGTAACAGATTGGAGTCATGGAAGGAAGTGGAATCGAACACAATCGACATGATGGTGGAAATCGATCTAAAGAGGGAGATTAGTGACTGGAAGAAGTCTCGAAAGGAATTCGATGAGGCTGCAGTGGATATTGAAGTTGCTATATTCGCGGTATTGGTTGATGAATTGGTAGAGGACTTGGCATGATCAAGTTGAGAAACATTTTCCTTGGGGATTCTAGGAAGAAAGTCCATTACTTTTATGTTAATTTTCGCGGTTCATTGTTTCATTCTTTTACTACTTGGCAGGATACTTGAAGCATGGATCATAATCTAACTCGAGAGATTAATTAGGGTAATTAGGTAAGTAACCCGAGGATGACGATGATTCGGGTTTAGTGCTAGAGTAGTATCAATGTATGTAAGGGGGGAAAGGGGAACATGACATGTATAATACCTATATTTTGAGTAGCTTAATCATGAGGTTGCATCATTTTGATGCTTGCCCTTTTATGAATAAAATAATAACAGAATTAAGAACTTTCTTTGGCAAGTATTGTGAAATATATTTCTTGTGAATGTTGGATTACTCGTTTTTAATTAATTTGAATTAAACTCAATTATTTTGTCAACCAACCACAAAAGCAACCAGTCGGATTAAATAATTAATTGATTAACAACAGTTACTTAATTTTGAAATTCAAATTACACAGAGTTTAGCATTGACTCAGTCTTCATGCTCCCATGCTGGGGGTTTAAAAAGTCCCTGTATTGACTCCGGATTTTGCTTCACACTTGATTTTTATATGCAGATTCTCTTTCAGTTTCTTTTTTCAAAGTACAAGTACTTATTGGGCTTTTTTTTGATTCGGTAAAACAAACCCTTTACAAGAATTATCGGACCTAAACTCCATTTGTAACTAACATTAACATCAAATTCTGATCTAGTCTCTCTATTCATCCATTAGACTCTCACAAGGCTCACAAGTTATAATAACATTTAGATCTTCGGATTTTAACAAGAACTAAAAAAATTACACGAAAATAAAAAGGATAGTACTCTAATTCTCGCAAGAATAAAGGGTCTCTTCCTAGCCGCAACTAGAAAATGATCACAAGTCACAACAAGTGATGTTTTTGATTAACAGCCAAACGAGCAACGCTCAAAGAATTAATTCTCTAAACAAATCTCTCATCATCATAAGCTATTATTGATATGCACTCATATTTATATAGGGTGAAAAATCGTACAAAAATAAGATAGGAAACTAACAATCATATCCTAAAATAAGATAGAATATTAATCCTAATATTCTAATCATATTTGTAACCAACTACTAAATCTATCCCACAAGTAAACAAAGTAGGAGATTTTATTCAATGTTTTCCTTATCAGCAAGGAGAGCAGAAAAAGCAATAGGAGGGAAGTCCTCCATCCATACACGCAACTCATTGTAGTCCAGAGAGGACTTAGCAATGATGTGTGCAGTAGTATTATAGTTTCTAGGACCAAAAGCAAAAACACAAACATCAAAGATACTAATCAAGCTAATACCATCTTAAACAATAAGGTGAGTAGTAGAATTCTCTTTCTCAAGTCCCTGAAGCATTTTTACTAAGTGAAGACAGTCCAATTCAACCTCAAGACTCCTTAGCCCAGCATCATAAGCAAGAGTAACCCCAAACATCACAGCATGTGCAGAGGGCAACAAACCATATCAAGGGTCATACTTGCTGCCATCATAACATCAACAGTACCATCTCTGACAATCATCCCATGTCCAACCTTTCCTTCAAAAGGAATTGCTGCATCACTGTTAAGCTTATATAGACTACGGCTAGCTAGGAGGTTTCCATTTCTCAGCTACTCTAGTGTCTTGGGGTTTTGCAGGGGCCTCACGTGTAGTGGCAGCTTCGTACTCCCCCAGCAGTGTCATAGCTTTTGAGCAGGCAATTTTAGGATCAAGTTTTTTCTTGTCAAAGATCCATAGTGTCTCAGGAGGGCGCCCCATTACTCACTGTGAGAAACGTTTTTGTTTCTTACAGTGACAGTTTCGTAAATAAAATGTATCACTTTAGTCACGGTGGTACATTTTATTTACGAAATGGATGATAAAATTGTACCACTTTAGTCACGGTGGTACATTTTATTTACGAAACTGCCACTGTGTGAAACAAAATCGTTTCTCACAGTGAGTAACAGAGATTTACTGATTTCTAAGCCCCCCAAATTTTCCAGAGCATAATCATCACCATTTCCCAGCTACGGGTAACAAAGCATTTACTAATCATGTCAACACACCAATCATAGAAGAGCCAGAGTATTGCGTACTAATCATGTTAACGTTCAATGGATTACGCCAGTGAAACAAGGTCTAAGCACTAGGTCTAACATCGCCTTCAAAGGGCATTGGTAATTTTGACCGTAACTGAAATAGTAAATTTAGGCCAGGGTTAGGAGTGGTTCATGACGAAAATGGTAAAGTTAGGGCTAGGGTTTCCTAAGTATGTTTTTTCTTAGTGTTAATCAGAGTTTGCTTGTCTTTATAAATTTATTTATGGTTTATTTTAGCGTCCCTTGGTTGTTGCCCTGTTTATCTGGTTGTATTGGTTATAGTTTATTAAATGGATTGTGTAGAAGGAGTTTAGATCCTTGATTACGAGTCTTGGTTTTGTTATAGTGTTGAGAGAGTTAACAGATTTTGTTGTTGTTGGGGGACGAACAAGAAGTTGGCAATGGCTAGGGTGAAGTGTGTGTTTTGTTGGAATGGTTATAGTTGTCTTTCTTTTATTTGTTTGTAATGATTTCTGCGATCATTACTCTTGAAATTTGCTATCCGAAATAGGCGCCCAAACTTTGTTTTGGGGTTTCTCAAGTCTTGACGTTATCGAACCTTTCTTGCCAACAAGAACATCTTATGATTTAAAGTTACTTGTCCAAGTGACCTGTTTAAAGATCTTACTTGGTGATGAGTTGATCCTACCAAGTAAGGGAAAGCTAGCCATGATCGAACATTTTCGATACTCTCAGCCGCTCTCTTTGTGGTTTGATATATGTATCCGCTCTTTGTCCTAAAAGGATTACCATGAGAGAATTATCAGTCCTGCTTCTAATTAAACAATATTCACAATTTATACAAAGGGATTAGGGTTTATCCTAAGGTTAACAAAATAATGACATAAATTAAATATACAAAAATATATACTCTAACAAGGTCCTCATCCGCAACATGTCCGACCAACCCAAAAATGTAATGTTGTTTTTAGTGTCAAAAGTTGTAAAGGCTTGAATGTTAAAAGCCAAGTTATCGCTTATTTTGTTTGTTTAAAGTCCAAGTCGGTACTAGTAAGTTTTAATTCCTGTTTCGTGTTTTGTAAACTCGTATATCAGCTGTTGTAGAAATTTTTGTTTTATTATATACCAAACCAAATTCTTAAAAAACTTTTTTTTTCCTTAAAAAAATATGTCCATACTTAAAAAAAAAAGGTCCCAAAGCAAGGCTAGCAGCCTATATCATGTTCATTTGGCGTTCAATCCCACATCTTTAATGAATGTACGCAACAACCATTAAAATTAACTTTTATATATATATATATATACTCTTTGAATTTTATGTCTCAGAAACATTATACTACCTCTGTTTCATATTATTTGCAACGATTAGACATTTTCTACTCATATTTTATGTCAAATCGTTGCAAATAATATGAAACAGATGTAGTAAGTAAAATAGTGAAAACGATGAATAGATTGGCAAAATTTAAAATACATTCTCATCCCATTTGCTAGTATGTAGGTCTTGAACTGGAATGATGTATTGTTATCTTATAATTTAACAACTAGTAGTTCTTAATCCCATTTGCTGTCCACTTTCAAATGATTAAGGTAAGTAAGAAATTATTGTTTAATTAAGGTACCAATTATGGATGATAAAGCAAATTATCCGGCTAAGCACAAACTTTAAATAGTTTTTAGTCATGATAGGACTAGCCAACTAACCTAACATCTTATCTCACTAAAAAAGCAAGGAATTAAAAACATTATAGGTACCAATTAATTACGTAGTATTAATTAAATACGCTATTGTTCAAAATAAAATAAAATAAATAAATACGCTATGGAGTACGCTAGATACTGACCATTATAATACAAACTGACGTCTTAATTGAAAAGAAGATTGAAACTAATGTTTAACAATCTTTTGTCCGTTTATTAAAAGCAATCAATGATTTGATGCCTTTAAATTGGCAAATAAAATTCAAAAAGGAACAGATTGGGAAAGCATTACCTACTTATGCAAATGATTGATTTGATAATTCTTATATAATCACTTTTTTTTTTTTTTTAGGAAATCTTATATAATTACTTTCCGTCAAAAAATTATAGAATAACTTTTTGGCCTTTTTTAAAAAAAAAAATCATTAATTAATGGGCTAATTTGAGGATGCGGAGTAACATTCCAAAATGAGTTTTCTTAAAAATTCTTGGAATATTCAATTGCTTGGGAAGAATTTTGCGATTTTCATGCAAATTATGAAGATTCTTAAGAATAACACTATCCTTTATTTATCAGTATCTTAAGAACCTATTATCCTTTAATTATATTAATTATTAGGATTTTTGCTTATGGGCTAATATTTTAGGGTGTGTTTTGTTTGGAAAGTAATCATTTGAGCGTTGCTTGTTTGATTTTTGATCAAAAACATCACACGTCGTAACTTGTGATCATATTCTAGTCGCGACTAGAAAATACCTTCAAAACCTGGGGGAATTAGAGTACTATTCCTTTAATTTTCGTGTAAATTCTTCAATTCAGCTAAAATTCAAATATCGATCCTACATTAATATATCTAGCAAGTCTTTTGAGCCTTGAAGGATCCACATCAATGATGAAATCTATTAATTAATGAAACTATTTTCAAATAGATACGGTAAATATATGAAATATCTTTATTCAATAAGTGAAGAGGAAGACTATAGTGTCCATGTAAAAAGACCACTACGCCCCTCTTCCCTTAAAACTGGAATAAAGATAATTTTAAAAAAAAAAAATATTCAATCAATTAGCATAGTAAAATGGAAAGATTAATCAATAAGCAAAGAAAAAAGAATGATCAATCAATTATCAAAGAATTACATAACATAATTTTATTTATTTATTTGTTTGTTTTTTTTTTTTGAAACACATAACGTAAAAATCAATTACTTGAATCAAGTCCAAAAATAACAAATATAATATTACATAATTAAAGTAGGCATTTTTCGGGAGCATTTTGCGCACCACATAAGCAAAGATATTATTTCGTGAAATTTGTATAATACACCAGGGTACACCATGCTCATGGTGCACCTGGTGATCTGGCGTAGCTAAATTGCGGGAATCAAATTTTACAAAAAAAAACAAAAAATAATTTCTAGCTTAATTACAGGGAGTTTTTTCCGTTTATATAGCTTTCAGTTTTTGGTAAATATTCTTAATTGACATTTTCCATTTTGTAAACATTTTAGAGAGAGAAAATTACAGAGAGAGAAAAATATAGAGAGAAAATTGT